CTACCCACCAAAATTACTGAACTGCACCATTTTTTAAGTGAGCATGATATTGACATTGCAATCATATCAGAGACTCATGCAAAACCATGCCAACGCCTGAGAATTGCAAATTATAATTCATACCGCTGTGATAGACTTTCACACAGAGGTGGTGGTGGTGTGGCAATATATGTGAAACGTAATTATGCATCTTGTCTTATATCTGATTCAAGAAATTTTAATTGTGAGCAAACTACTGTGTGTGTCACTCTTCCTGTGTTTAATAACATCAATTTTTGTGCTGTGTATAACCCTCCCTACGAATAGACTATGTGATAATTTTCTAAATAGCATTCTACCGGATGACATACCTACCCTTGCTGCCGGGGACTTTAATGCTAAGCATATAGACTGGAACTGTCGTCGAACAAACCTAAATGGTAAAATTCTCCATGAATATATTTTACAGCATCCGGTGGCGCTACATGCCCCACCAGAATACACGCGGCTTCATAATAGAATTGAATTTTCTGATATACTAGACATTGCAGTCACTACAACGACTATCCCCGTTGCAATGGAAGTATTTCATGAATTGTCCTCTGACCACCTCCCCGTAATCGCAACATTAGGAGTGACAAAAACTTCTGAGTTCTCTACTAAGCGAATTACGAATTGGAATCTCTTCAGCAATATCATGAAAAATTCACCTCCTCGACTGCAAAATCTCAATACCAAACAAGGCATAAACACCGTAATTAATGCCTTAAGTGAAAGCATTCAAGGTGCAATTAAGGAAGCCAGTACTGAAATTACTAATCGTGATAAGGCTTTCAGACTGCCCCTTAATATACGACAGCTTATGAGAGAGCGAAATAGACTCAGGAAATGTTATCATTTAACGTGGGACCCGGCACTTAAACGTGAAATAAATCGTAAAAATAAGCAAATTCAGAAGGCCATTAAAACCTTCAAAGAAGAACTATGGGATGATAAAATGTTAAATCTGGATTCTAGAGAAGGTACATTCTGGTCTTTAATCAAAAATTTTAAAACTTCCTTCACAAGTAATCGACCCCTCTATGACAGAGGTAATATTGCCATCTCCAATCAGGAAAAGGCAGAAATCTTCGCAGCACACCTCCAAGAACAGTTCTCGCCAAATGATTGGCCAAATGACTCTGATTTCGAATTAAAGACCCTCCTACGAGTGAGGGATTGGCTCAACGCCCCTTCAGTCAGACTTCCAATTAAATATGCCACTCCTACTGAAACGACTAATATTATCAAACACCTGAGACAAAAGAAATCTCCAGGAATTGATGAAATCAGCAATACAGCAATTAAAAATTTGCCGCCTAACATCATCTGCAGCCTGACAAGTATTTTTAATGCTTGTCTTGCTCTTTCTTACTTTCCAACACCTTGGAAAATTGCTAAAATTATTTTACTACCTAAACCGGCTAAAGATCACACCCGACCAGACGGATATCGTCCTATTAGTCTACTGCCGGGCTTAGGCAAAATTTTTGAGAGAATTATCCTGAATAGACTGAAACCATATTTTCAGCATCTTCCGCCGGAACAATTTGGGTTCCGTGCTCACCTCTCAACAACGAAGCAACTTGTCCGAATAACCGAATTCGCTGGTGCAGCTCTGCACTGCAAACTTAATGTTGCTATACTCATGCTAGACGTGGCGAAAGCATTCGACCGCGTCTGGCATGAGGGCTTAATTGCTAAATTAATTGACCTTCAACTGGACAGAGAACTCATTCTGCTAATCCATTCTTTTATCAGGGATCGGACATTCAGAGTCTCGGTAAAAAATGAATTATCCAGCACTAAAATAATGACTAGCGGTGTTCCACAGGGTTCTGTGACTGGCCCTATACTCTATCTATTCTACGTTTCAGACTTTCCGAGATTGCATTTAAATCATAATTCTATGCTAGCCTGTTATGCAGACGACACTGCCCTGGCAGTGAAGTGAAGTCTGCTAACATCAATCATGCTATTCGGAAACTCCAAGACACTATTCCCTCCATAGAACAATGGTGTGGATATTGGAAGATACGAATTAACGCTCAAAAATCGCAGCTCCTACTCATAAGGAAAAGGAAGAAAAAAAATGTTCCGATCAGGCAAAGTGTTTATCTTTTTAACGAGGCTGTGCCTATCGTGAAACAAGCCAAATATCTGGGCATCACCATCAACGACAAGCTCACATGGCAGCATCACATCCAACAAATCAGGGATAAAGCGATTAAAGTCATGAAATGTTTATATCCTATGATAGGGAAATATTCAAAACTTTCGTTGGACAAGAAACGACTTATTTATCTAGCCACAATCCGACCCATCATGACGTACGCTTCGCCAGCATGGACTACCGCTACGAAGGGTGAAATCCAAAAATTACAAGTTGTTGTGCAAAACCAATTTTTAAGAATTATCACAAATGCACACCCGTATGTGAAGAACAAACGTCTCCATGAAGATTTAAAAATGGATACAATAGTGGAATATTTAAGAAGAACTAACACGGCATTTTATGACGCCGCTAAGGAGTGCCAACATATGGACATTTTCAACCTATTTCACTATGAAATTTTACACGAGGACAGGCACCTCCGTCCATATGCCGCTTTTCTACTCAGTGGAAACCAGGATTTTCCAACATAATTTGTGTTTTTAAGTATGTAGTACTCTGAAAAAACTTATTTGACTTGTAAATAATGATGTTTAGAAATCTTAGCCGGATGATCATGTGACACACACAGCCACGCCCACAAGATATTACTTATATTTTTCCTGTATATACTATTATAATTTTTGGAATCGTATTTTTATTTTCTGCATTTATGACTGCAACACACACCTTTTATGAACTGATTTAGTACTATTTTATGTATAACTACTGTAAAACTTCAGATTTACAGCGCTACGATGCCTGGATACCTCATCGCCAACCAGATGTCTTATCGCTCATCACGTGACATTGGTCACACCCCCTGCATCTGCTATCCTGTCTCCACGAGAACTACGTTCGGCATTTCCTTACCTGCAGCGCTCCTAGAAGCACCAAAGTTCGATAGCCGGAACACAACCTGCGATTTCGCAGGTTAATCGCGGCAAATAAAGCAAGTTGGAGTTGGAGTTGTCCTGAGTTGTGTGAGTACACGTGCCTTAGGGAAATAGTTTTAGAAATTATCTTTTGTTACGTCTGCGAGAAAGGTGAAATACTCGTGTACGTTTCAAAAATCATACACAGTTGACTTTCCTTCCATTATTTCCTCAAGGAAATGTAATAAATTTGCGATGTGTACCGCCTGTCGTTGCGATTTTTCGATTTCGTATGTTGGAAGGGCGGATGTTCTCAAACATGTGCGTACACAAAAACACAAGGATAACATGAGTTGTTTTGAAAAAAATGAAAAATTAAATTTTTCTTCGGAAACAAAGGACCAAAAGTTATTAATGCAGAATGTCTGTTCTCTGCCTTTTTACTGGAGCACAACCTGCTACTGAATGCATCGGATCACGCTGCAGCTTATTTAGAAAAAATGTTTCCCGATAGTGAAATCGCCAAGAAATACTCAAGGTGCAAGAATCAAAACAGGTGCAATTGTTAAAGAAATGGGTTTGAAAAATAAATCTTCAGTTATTGATTGCATTAAACAGCTCCGGTCTGCCTCTCTACTGATGATGAAAGCAATAATACCGATTCAAAACTGTATCCAATTGTTGTTTCTTGTTTTTGATCCAGAGTCTTCAGAAATTGAGTGCAATTTACTTTATGTTCCCACTTTATAAGGACATTTGACAGGCTTTAATATAACACAGCTAATTATTAAAACTTTAAAAGAAAACTGCAGGCACTCTGTATAATTGCTTAGCACTTGGTGCCGATAATGCACCAGTATTGGTAGGCTTGGAAGGCTGGTGTTGCAGGCATCTTAAGAAAGGAAAATTCAGATTATGAGGTGCACCTGTCACCTCTTAAATTTAGCAGCTGAAAAAGGGGCAACTTCTTTACCAATAAATGTGGATGAACACATTGTTGATATTTATTATTATCTTGAAAGGAGTTCTAAAAGGAAGGAAAAATTAAAACAGTTCCAACAGCTGCATAACAGCAGTTTACAATTAGAAAACTTGGATGAAGTTATAAAATCAGCTACGATTGACACTCAGTGGAGTTTAATTGCAAAACTGAAAGGTGCTGATGGAATTTTAAAATATAGTGAACTGTCTATAATTGTGTTGGCCATCTTGACAGTTCCCTATAGTAATGCAGAGTGTGAGAGGATCCTCAGTGTTGTTGCGAAAACGAGGACTAAATTTAGATCTAATATTAGAGATGGCACATTAGAAAAACTTTTATCAGCGAAAGCAGGCCTACGTGGCAATTGCTGTGAACACAATGATAAAGTTTCTTTCTTAAAGAAAGCAAAATCTGCCACTGTTTATAACATTTGTACGAAAACTGATTAAAGAGTCTTTTTTTTTTCCTTCTTAAATGATGCGTGTAGTAAAAATTTTTTTATGTGTAAGGTATTTTTGTGTTGCTTGCATTTTAGAATTAGTTACTACTTAAAGTTCATTCATTATTAAAAACTATATTTTTATCATTTAAAAAGTCTTTTTAACATTGTGAAAAATCTCCTGATTTTTGAGTGTCATAGGTTGGCAAGTATGTATATGAAACTTCCAATTTTTCATGGATTCTTTTGGGTTTTCAAATATTTCTGCAATTTCATATTCTATTTCATCTGTTTAGCAAAGAGACTATTTTATTTGTGTTAGTTGTTGAAGGAATAAGGCCAAAATGAAAATTATGTATTTTTGGACATTTTTTATCTGTTAATTAAAAAGCAAAGTTTCTTAATATTTTAAGAGTATTATGAATGCTGTAATTGACATTTTTTTTATTCTTTGCTGTACGTTAGAACTTATTAAGATTTATGTTTTACTGTGTTTTCAGTTGTAATCCTACTAATACGACCCATCTGTTTCAGATAATTGGAGTGTAAAGGGAAAACGTAGGAAGACAACTGGTACTGGCCGTCTGCGTCATCTTAGAAAAGTTTGGAGAAGATTTAGGTATGGTATTTAATTTATATTGAGGATTAACATATAAGAATAATTCTTTAATTCTTAATGCTTGCTTCAAATAGTGCATAACATTCTTGTGAGTCTTTAAGTGAATGGTTCAGCTGTTCACAAGGATTAAAATAAGTCTTTAACAGCAAATGTAGTTGTATATTTTTTGTTTAAGGACAAAGTGAAGTTTCAAGACCTGTATCATGTTGAAATTGGCCACCAAAAGTGTGAAAAAACACAATTATGCTAAGTAAATCATTCTTCCCTGCCCCCTTTTTGGAAGAGTAATAAATGTAAAATTATTTCAAAACTGCTTGTATTACGAACTGGGAATTTTTGTTTCAAACATAACAAAATCATTAAGTAATGTTGATTAACTATGAAAGAGTTTTTGTTAAAAGCTGTCTGTTAACTAGCACAGAGCATACATTTTCATTTTAGGAATTTGTATCTTCATACACACAAAGCATAAAATGTTTTTGGTTGAATATATAAGCAGTGAATTAGTTAATTGCAGTATGTGTAATTTTTCATTAGGTTTAAACTTACTTTTTAAGCCTAAATGCTAATTTAAAAATCCATTAAAATATTTGTTTTCTAAAAAGATTTTCTTCCCAATTCCAAATTTTAATTCATGCCTTTAACCTTCTAAAACCGGGCCGAAATTCTCATAATGCCTTCAGACCGGCGCGACCCGAAACAGTTTTGCCCTCTCTTTGACATTTTCCTAATGAGAAAAGTTGTTAGTCCTCCTCCATGGATGAAGTAAAATTTACATATTTGTCGGACGCTTACGTCCCATAGTAGAGGGGTTGCTAGATTTGCAATTTTTTTGATGATTATTTTGGTTTCATTTAAATGAAGTTCTAAATAAATAGTGCATAAATAAATATGCAGTACTGGATGCATATCCAGTGCACAATTTATTTAGAACAAAATGTATGCAATGTTTATTTCACTCACTATTTCAATCAATCTCGTAAATAATTGTGAATGTTTTAACTTTTTTCACTATTTCTTCTATTTCTTAATTCATTTTTTCTTTTTCACTTAGAATTATTTTAATTTTTTAAGCTAGAAATTTTTGCGAGAACAAAAAAAAATATAGTAAAATACGGACTAGATTTGTAAGTCTGCAGGCTGGAATGTGATTTTTAATAACATATTTTCATTAATAAAATAATGGTAATGACTAATTTAATGAAATAATAATAATAATATTTATTACCATTAGATGATTAGAATGAGATTCAATACAATTAGATTTTGAGATGAACTTACAGCAATAATAAAGCTTTACATAACAATAACAGATTTAAATCTGCTTTTTTCAACAATTTTGTTGTTATAACATAAAAATCAAAATCCAAGATACATTGGTTGCGTTTAATCATTAAACTTTAACAAATATTACATTGACTATTAGGCAAAGAAGGTATATCTTTAACGAGAATTTTTCTTTGTAAAATTGGTTTATGTTAGCAGAGAAAAAAATCCGTGACCTATACATGTAATCATCAAAAGAATTTTGAGAACAGTTTTAAATGTTTATGAAGAATTAATTATACGTCAATTTCTTTTCATAGGTAGATATTTCGTCTAAAACCATCATTATATCCAAAAGTTGAAGTCTATTTCATTTTCAACGAATATTCTATTTGCACATAATATATTTTCTAATTTATTTTAGAAAGAGTAATCTTTCACGTTTTCAAACGAATAAGGAAATATTGGGTGTTGACACAATGTAGTAAATCTGTTTTTCATATTTCTTCCAGTAATGAAAACGATTACCCTGGAATATTTTCAAAGCAAAATTAAGAAAACCGTTTATGCCAGATTTTGCATAAAGTATCTTCTCGTGTATTTTTTTATTTAAAGTGTGGAATTTTCTCTTTGAAAATATCAAAAATCATGAACGGAGCAAAATTTATTCATGGGAAATAACTTTGAAATGCAATAATTCCATCGTAATATGAAATAGTGGAGAAAAGTGCAATACAGTTTATTTATTCACAAATAATCCCCCTCATATGCATAATTAATGTACTGTCGATTGAGAAATATAGGTTAGTAAATTAAATCTATTTTTTCAATACTTTTCCTTTATCAATATTTTTACGGGCTCCTCAGTAGAGCGGTAGAGGTGGCTGAACACTTGTAGCTCGCTTGGGTTTGAATCCCGGCTAAATAGTTGGATTCACAGTTTTTGTGTAACGTAAATGCAAGCCGGCTTCAGTTAGAAAGTCCTTCGCAAAGGCATAACTCCCCTTATACAGGTCATTGTTGTGTGCTTTGATGTAATTCAGTAAGCGAACAAAATTAATCCAATCAAACCTGAAGAAGGCGTTGATTCCATGTGGAGTTTTCCACCAGGAACGTAAATGCGAGCAATTTTCTCTTAAAAAGGTTTACACGAAAGCATCCATCCCCTTAAGCAGATAGCGTTTGCGTGCTTTTCCGTAATCCAATCCTAATTTTCATACATTTAATAGTAAGTTGACATACACCTTATTACAGACAAAACAAAAACATTTTTTAAAGATGTCTGAATTCCCTTTATCTCTTGAGGAGTATAAGAATTTCAGCAAATAAAACTGGCCGAAATTTTATACAGTGTAACTGATGTTTTGATCCAATTTAGAAGTAATGTGAGCTTTACTGATATTTAAATACTTTTTGGCAGATCTCATCCTAAAAGAGGGTCTAAAGATAAATTGATTTTATTTAATTTACAATCAAGGAAAATCATTGAAAGCAATCACTGAATGAATGAAAATCACAAAAACTATTATGCATACAATTGTCTCTTATTTATCTCCTGATAAATCAGACAAAATTGCCTACATAATAGAAGCGCTTTGAAAGAGTTAACAGTTCTTAAGGGTTTTATGCACTCCACAAAAAAATGTCAAAATAAAATCTTATTATTCATAAGTATGAAAAGAAGTAAACAATAAAAGCGATTTTACCTTTTTTCTAGAAGGGCATTAAATCTAAAATATTAATCTATTCTTATTTGTATGATTAGAAAACATTAAATATGGTAAGCTTAAAGAGCGTGCAAAATCGCTGACGTTTTAATCATAGCAAAAAGTCAGTACTAAAAAAATTAGCATTAAAATTATGAGACAGATTGAGAAAGAGATGGCCTCTATTTGATTTTCAAGTATATTGGCGCGAGACGAGACTTGCGGTTTTCGCCAAAATGTAGCCAAACTGATAAGAAGAGGGAAATAATGCGTAGCCAGCGGCTACTCTGAGCAGCGACAATGGACCACCCAGAAATCTACAGATAGGCGATTCTCTAAAATGGGGAGGGCATGGATGGTACGACAGTTGTACCAATGCAGGCATCTGAGAAAGCCATTTTCCTGGTACAACTGCTGTACCAGCTGTCTTCAGAAAGTTAATACCACTTAAAATGTCATGTTGTTGACTAAAAACATGTCAGTTGACTTCTGATAGACAGCCTAATAAAACTTAAAAATCTTCCTGCCATCTATTTTCATTTTAAAAGGTTTCTGTAAAACGATGTTCTATCCTGTTACAATTAATGAATATTAAAATCTCATTTTGTAATCCTTTATAGCCTAAAATTGTTAAAAAACGTTCAGAAAAAGTATTTCTTAATAATGTTGTACTTTGCTTAAAACAGAAACTGTACTGTTAAAGGAAAAACATTTTAAAGCACTGTATAAAAATCAAACAGTACAATTTGATCAAACAATAATCTGTATTTTTAAGTTTTCAAGAATAAATAAAATTAAGACCACAGAATGAGAAATCACAAGGCTGATTTATATTATATTTTTACTGTCATTTTTATAGTGACCCAGCAAGTTTGACCTGGGTTGAATTCCATGCAGGCTACATCATTTTAAGCAATTTTGCCTTCACAAATGCATCCTTTCCTTTAGACAGCTGTAGCTGCATTGCCATTATGATTAAAATTAAAACCAATTGTCACTTTGATGTGAAAAAATAAGGCGGCAGTAAAGTGCTTAAAATGAAGACAGCAAAATTTTGCTGACATAAATATTGCTTTTCAAAATATTACTGAAAGCAAAAACAGCAAATGCTCTTAAAGGAGGGAAAATACCTGAAGCGCAAAAGGCACATAAATTATGAAAATTCCCTCTAAGAGCACAAGTTTCCTTAAATGGAATTCAATGATTCTGCTGTTATATTCTGTGTGTGTTGTATTAATGTAGGGAAAATTCACTAATATACACCACTAAAACTCATTGAGTTATTTACTAAACTATGATTTATTTACTAAAATAAAGAATGATCATTACAACATTCTCACACACATCTTTCCTCATCATTAACATCTTCTCTGCACGTTTATCTATATTGTAGTTCAGCATTATATAACACAGTTGCATGGCCATTTCCTGCATGCATAATTTGGTCATCTTACATCATCTGCCCTCAGATGACAAAAGCACACAGTAAAGTTTAACGTAAAATACACTAAAAATGGAAATAATACTAAATCAGGATCTTCTAATAACAGTACCTAAAAAATAATAGTTAATAATCATTATCAAAGAAAAGATTGATAGGATTAAAGTCCAAAAGTGTAAATCAGTTAATATGAGAGATGTCCATAAAATACTTAAAGTTTGGGTAGTATGTTCTGATCGCCAATAAATGATAAATTATCGCTAAGTTTGATGATTTCTTGCCAAATTTCGTGATGGAATAAGTCAACAAAACCATCGCCAGCTTAGCAATATCTCATCAATTTTGTGAGAAACCCATTTGCATGTGTATTCTTACTTTTCCAGCAAAGTTTTGCTTCTTTAGATTTTCGTGTTACATTTTACAAAAGACAAACAATACAATTTCACTAAAATCATTTACATATACACAAAATTCATAACAATATGTTAGTATTCCGAAAATTATAGAAATAGATTATTTTCTGTACTGAGGCTGAAAAGTACATAATTTTGTTCCCACCTTCTTTTTTTTTTTCTTCTAAATTTCTTTCATTCATACCTTATAATTTACCTGCTTTAAATATCTATTTTTATGTGTATAAAAAATTATTTTATGTAAAATAACAGAATCAATTAAACATGTTGCATTTGATGATAATATAGTATCAGTGAGAGAAAGTGTATTAATTTTTAGATTAAAAGAAACTGGTTTGTTTATATTTCAACATTGTTACAATATTTTATTAAAAATATTTATTTCAGACATGGATTCCGAGAAGGTGGCCAGGCAAAGCCACAGAAGCAAGGTGCAGCAGCTTCTACAACAGCATCTTTGTCTAAATAGTTTTGTGTAAAATAAAAAATTTGCCCTACGGCATGTTTGTGTTATTTGTTTAGGTATTCATAGTTATTATTGTATGTCTATGCTTAGAAATTCTTAGGAAATTTTAATACTTATTAAATATTTGAAAGTAGCATTTCAGTAGATAATGCTGTAGTAGATTTTAATTAAAGATTATATAATAAGGAAATGTATTAAAGTTTTAAGATCTGGGAATTTTCAAGATATTAAAAAGCACATGACAAAATATTCTTATTGTACACATTTCCATCATTAACTGTGTGTAACGTTTACTAGTTCATATTCTTGTTTTTGAAAATTAAAATGCTATTAATGTGTGTTAAGGACTAGTATACATAGAACATCTGGAGTTAAATATATACAGTCAAAAGTCATTAATTCAGACACCCATAATCCGGAACTCAAAGCTACAAACTTTCTGCGCATGCATCGCTTCGACCTTATGGCTGTGCATATGAGCACGCGCGTAATACGTTTACGCATTCGCATTTAATGTATAACGAACTGTATAAGCTAAAATTATTTATCTATTTCAGTTAATGTAGCAGATTGCGTTGTTCCTTAATCTTCGAATTGGATCCGGCTTATTTTTTGCAGACTGTTAGAGCAATTTTATAAAAGTAAGCTTGAACTTTCGATTATGTCCAATAGAATTTCCAATATATATTTACTAATATGTAAAGTATCTACAAAGCAAAAGTATGTTTCGAAGTCCATTAAACAAAAAGTGGAATTGCTGCAAAAAATGGATAAAGGCATATCCTTCGTTTCTCTAGCCATTCCGAAATCTGTTTATGAATTTCACACTGCTCTGCGGCAGGGGGGAGGAGAAACGCCGCAGTGCGCAATGAATTGGAAGTTGATCTGTCAGCACTATCCTTATCTTCAGGGCAGATGTTTTTATTTTATTCGTCTTATAATTCCTTACTAAATGTAGTATTTCATCTCGATGTACTCCGCCTTTCATATGATTTAAATCAAATTTGTCAGATAAATATCACGAATACACATACATCAAATAGTTTTCTGGTTGCAATTTTCTAATTTCGACTATGCGTTGTGTATGCTTTACGCATGCGCGAGTTGAAAGAAGTGTTTAATAAAGTAAACAAATATTGAGCTTTTTTTTTTTTTTTTTTTTTTTTTTTTTTTTTTTTTTTTTTTTTTTGTAAATTTTGATACCCTTTAGATCATAATTGCTCTTTATTTCATAAATTATAATTTGAGTTATGAAGAAGAGAATGAAGTTGTAGACAGACCCAAGGCTACACCTGCCGATATGGTGAAAATAGTTTTGGGTGGTGAAAACGTTAACGAGTGGTTGTAGTGTGACGTCAACGAACCCGGCTTCGAACGCTTGACGGATGACGAAATTGTGAAGAAAGCAAGAGGAGAGACCAAGAATTAAGGAAAGCGAAGAAGAGCCCACTGTGCAGATGCGTAAGACTCACGAAGCGGCGGCCGAGCGGTGAAGTCGCTGAACACTTGAAGTTCGCCCCGAGGTTCGAATCCCGCAAACGGGCTGGTTGCATGGGAGTTTTCGTGGTTTTCCCCCCATGTGTAACGTGTATATGAACCAGTTCTCCTTAGAAAGTCCTCCACAAAGGCATCCCTCTCCTTAGGCAGGCCTCAAGGCTTTGCCATAATCACACACATCTGAAAAGGCTTTGCAACAAGATGACGTGGAGTTGGCGGAGAAACTTATGCTAAGAAAAATGCAATCTCGGATCAAGAGAAAATGCTTCCAAAGCAAGAAGCAATGACTGATTTCTTCAAAAAGGTGTAGTTTTACAGTTATGTTTTGTAATTACATAATACATTACAGTATTAAAACAGTACATGTATTAATTTTTCTGTGTATCCTTGACGCCTCTCGTAAGTACAAAGCACTTTTCTGTTTTCATTAACAAAATGCATTTTAGGTGAGTTTTGAGTGACGTACTAAAATATTAAGCGTTAGTTAAACATTTTCTGCTGTTTATTTTACGTTTTTTGTACATAAAATGATTTTTCAAAGTTGAAATGACCGTTTTCTCTTGCTATACCCGTTTTTAGCTTTTTTCCGATTATCTGCGGCGGCCGAGCCACCCAATTCCGCGGATAATCGGGAGTGTACCATAAATCACCTAACTTCAGAAAATTCACAGTTAGAGAAGTATGTGCCATTCAAACTGATCTTTCAATAATATAATAAGTGGAAGAAATTTGTTGATAGCATCTTTTTTAAAATGTACATATAAATGTGTTTGTGGCTTATATATATAAATTCTTGAAATTTTCTCAAGAATTTTATTTCTTACGGGTACAGAGTTGCCAACTCTCCCGATTTAGGCGGGAGACTCCCGATTTTCGACCGTTCTCCCGCCAACCCGATTTACAATATATTTCTCCCGACTTTTTCTTATTCTTAATATTTCTCACGATTTTTATGGAACTTGGCTTAATACTTCGTTATATGAACAAAAAAAAAAGGTGATTTTAGACGTCTGAAAGCAATTGAATTTTCTCTAGATTATATCTAAAATGAAACCTTGCGAATCAGATAAGAATTTCTGCTTTGTGATTGACAGCATACGTATCCAGAAACGTCGTTCTCCAGTTGTCCAATGGGCATCGAGCTCCACTGTCACTGCGTGTCATCTGGCATATATTAGCCAATGAGCACAAAGCAAGCTCAAGGCTGTTAGCCGGTCTTTGGATGTTCTTTCGCTATTTCGTTCATCTTGTCCTGAGTTGTGTGAGTACACGTGCCTTTAGGAAATAGTTTTAGAAATTATCATCTTTTGATATGTCTGCGAGAAAGGTGAAATACTCGTGCGCGTTTCAAAAATCGTACACAGTTGACTTTCCTTTCATTATTTCTTCAAGGAAATGTAATAAATTTGCGAGGTGTACCATCTGTCGTTGCGATTTTTCGATTTCGCTTGGTGGAAGGACAGATGTTCTCAAACATGTGCGTACACAAAAACACAAGGACAACATGAGTTGTTTTGAAAAAACGAAAAATTAAATTTTTCTTCGGAAACAAAAGACCAAAAAGTGATTAATGCAGAATGTCTGTTCTCTGCCTTTTTACTGGAGCACAACCTGCCACTGAATGCATCGGATCACGCTGCAGCTTTATTTAAAAAAAGTTTCCCGATAGTGAAATCGCTAAAAAATACTTAAGTGCAAGGACCAAAACAGGTGCAATTGTTAAAGAAATGGGTTTGAAAAATAAATCTTCAGTTATTGATTGCATTAAAACAGCTCCGTTCTGCCTCTCTACGGATGGAAGCAATAATACCAATTCAAAACTGTATCCAATTGTTGTTTCTTTTTTTAATCCAGAGTCTTCAGAAATTGAGTGCAGTTTACTTTATGTCCCCACTTTAGAAGGACATTCGACAGGCTTTAATATAGCACAGCTAATTATTAAAACTTTAAAATAAAATGCAGTCCCTCTGGATAATTGCTTAGCGCTTGGTGCCGATAATGCACCAGTAATGGTAGGCTTGAAAACTGGTGTTGCAGGCATCTTAAGAAAGGCAAATTCAGATTTGCAGATTATGAGGTGCACCTGTTAAATTTAGCAGCTGAAAAAGGGTCAGATTCTTTACCATTAAATGTGGATGGACACATTGTTGATATTTATTATTATCTTGAAAGGAGTTCTAAAAGAAAGGAAAAATTGAAACAGTTCCAACAGCTGCATAATACTGAAATGAGAAAAATTTTAATTTTTTGTAATTTCTGCATCATTCAGCAATTCAACTGGCAGTTCTCAAAATAATACTGCAAAATATAAGCGTAAAGCTGATACAAATTTCTCTCAAAATAATAAAAAAGAAGGAAAAAAAAAATTGCTCAACACACGAAACATTTTCCGATTACTGTAAGTTTATCTTGTGAAGAACGAATATTTATTTTTATTTCTTCGGACCTTAACAAAGCTTTTTGCTTTTTTTTTTTTTACAATTCATTTTGCCATCATTCGATGTTCTGAACACAATTATACAAAGCAGAATTCCATTAATTCATGTTTTGCAATCAATGATTTATGATCTGTTTAAAGACATTTTATCAAAGTTTGTAAAACCAGTCTGTGTTTTGTCTTGTAATTCTATATATGATGTGATTTATGGTGAAACAGAAAATCAGAAGGAAGATGAAGATTTGGTAATAGGAGCTGCAACTACAAAAGTAGTGGAAGAACTTTCAGAAGAAGACAAAAATAAGTTTTATCTTCATGTTAGAAGTTACTTCTGTTGAGTATGTGATTACAACCTACATAAATTTCCAGTCAACGATGAAGTGATTTTGCATGCTAAAGTTGCTGATGTTTCTGCTCTAGCAAATGCATCTTTTTTATATATAAGGTACTTTTTGAACAGATTTCCTGTGTTACTTCGTTTAGTCATGAAAGATGATGATATTGATATTGCTACTGATATACTGCAGTCGCAATTTTGCAGTTTACAATTAGAAAACTTGGGTGAAGTTATAAAATCAGCTAGGATTGACACCCAGTGGAGGATAATTGGAAAATTGAAAGGTGCTAATGGAATTTTAAAATATAGTGAACTCTCTAGAATTATGTTGGCCATCTTGACAGTTCCCCATAGTAATGCAGTGTGAGAGGATTTTCAGTGTTGTTGCGAAAACGAGGTCTAAATTTAGATCTAATATTAGTGATGACACATTAGAAAAACTTTTATTAGCGAAAGCAGGCCTAAGTGGCAATTGCTATGAACAAAATTATGAAGTTTCTTTCTTAACGAGAGCAAAATCTGCCACTGTCCTTTGTATGAAAACTGATTAAAGTGCTTTTTTTTTTTTTTTAAACGATGAAAGTAATAAAAATGTTTTTTATGTCTAAGGTATTTTTGTTTTGCTTGCATTTAAGACTTAGTAACTATTTAAAGTTAATTCATTATTAAAAACTATATTTTTATCATTTAAAAAGTCTTTTTAACATTGTGAAAAATCTCCTGATTTTTGAGTGTCATAGGTTGGCAAGTATGCGGGTAGCAAGA